AGAGAGAGAGAGAGAAAGAGAGAGAGAGAGAGAGAGAGAGAGAGAGAGAGAGAGAGAGAGAGAGAGAGAGAGAGAGAGAGAGAGAGAGAGAGAGATGAATGTGCGTGTGTTCTGCCGCAGTATCATCGCTGGCAAGGGTGTTATGGTTTACGAGATGCGCCACGAGCGGGACGGGTACCACAGCAGGGTCTTCGAGTTCGCAAATGGAGTGACACGTCAGTCCATCCGTTTCTACGACGTTGATGTGGACGGCGCACCCGCTATGAAGATGGACGCCGGCTTGGGTTTCTTCGGTGAGCGCCTCGGGCATGTTCTCATCTACGTCAGGAAGGTCGTCGATATGATCCCCAATGAGTGGGGTGGCCATCCCGTTGATGTGCTGGGGGAGATCGTGCTTCTGTATGTCTCCACCCTTGCTGTCGTGTACGCAGACCGCTTAGATGATGTCCCGTTTTGGAGGTGCATTCTGGATCCGCCATTGGTGGGCAGGCCCTATTTGCACGGGGAGGTGAGGTCTTGAGTATCGGCAAGGCGAGAGGAGACAGCCGTCATCTTCGTCGTATGCGCCGTGAGGAGGTCATAGTGTTCATTGGACACGCCATTGTAGAGTCCTTTGGCGACGGCGGTCGGAAGATGACTATGATGATGATGATGATGATGATGATGATGATGATGATGATGATGATGATGATGATGATGGAGTTCGATTTGTATGACAATGAGGACGATGCTGATGACGAAGATGATGATGAAGATGGTGACGATGATGATGATGACGATGATGATGATGATGATGACGATGATGACGATGATGATGACGATGATGACGATTATGATGATGATGATGAATTCAATGACAATGACGTTTAGGATGACGATAATGATGACGATGATGACGATTATGATGATGATGATGAATTCAATGACAATGACGTTTAGGATGACGATGATGATGATGATGATCACGGTGGTGATTATCGTCATATGCAATRTTTGGAAGGGTGAAATGGCGAATGGSCATCCGGACGTCATTCGAACTTTGCTACGGATGTTTTGGTTTCTACCATCGTTGAATTTGTAGTAACTCCATTTTCAAATTGAGTCATCCATTTCGACGCATTTGTTTTCTGATTTTCCATATTCACGTTTTTTTTTTTTTTTAATTCTTGTTCGGGTTTGTGTTTGCACTTCTTTCTTTGCGTCTGTCGCCTCCCTCCCTTTCATCATTTCCATATCCACAGTTATTCGGTTGTTGGGTGTGGTGCACAGTGGATGGAACGGTGCAATTCGGGCGTTGTCAATGGGGATGCGTACTTGATGCACATGCAGTTTCTCCTAACTCAATTGAGCAACCGACATAGGAAGTACGAAAGGAAATCAATGTTTTTGTTGGGTAGGGTTTCATGGACTTGTTGCTCCTTCGTTGGAAAAGACAATCATGGCATGTATGTTGTCTTGTTCTTTTGCTGGGACGTTGTCGACTTACATGTTAGAAAGGTCTGCAGTCGTCGTTAAATTTGTTGGCTGTTATTTAATTGGTCCACTTCACAAATACTCGACACTCGACAGACAAACACCGTCACCGCCCAATCATCGAACAACGAAGAGGAAAGCACTGCATTATGACTTTTTGTTTACAAGGGCGAATTCATTTGTACACAATGCATCGAAACCGCAACGTCGGAACCCGAGTACCCGGTTGGTGTAACTACAAATTCCAGTACGCTAAACCGTACACGTTCCACCAACGGCCGACGACACTGGCACTAAAATTTATCATCCGGTTTATGCCCTGTGTAATGAAAGACGACCACTACCTCCATGGGCATGGCTGAGGAGCCCCGTGGACTGCCACGTGGTGGCGCACGTGCTCCACCAGGCTGGCCCTCACATGAGCCGTGAGTTCCCCCCCGTAAGTGGGGTCGTCCTCCGTAGGCGCCTCGATGTTCAAGTCCGGAAGATGACGGTTGAATCGCCGATGGAATTGGCGCCGTCGACGGTTCCTGTGCTGCTCTTCATCGCCATCACTGTCACTGCTGTCTTCCATCAGCGCGGGGTCGATGTGCACGTTGTGGATGATCATGAGATTGTGGAGAATGCAGATGGCCATGAATTCTTTGCAGACGGTCTTCAGGTTGCAGATGTGTCTTCGAATGAAGTTCCTCCAAACCGCCTTCAGACGRCCGAAAGTCCGTTCAATGCACGACCTCGCTGCACTRTGGSTCAAATCRAACGYCCGATCATGTTCCGTTCGAGCAAACCGACCAAACRGAGTCATGAGCCATGGAAGRARAGGGTACCCTTGATCACCCAGCAAATACCTGCCAACATGTCTGCCGTCGTGCAAGACGACACCTCCCTCAGCCAACACTCCTCTACCCTCCGTAGCATTCACATACAGTGCTGAGATGCACATAGCTCTGGAATCGTGCACAAACCCTGGACAACCGACAAAAACACTGCAAATCCGACACTCGTGGTCGCTAACGGCTTGTGCCACAACCGAGAACCCCCCCGTGTGGTGGTAATAGCACTCCGACCGCGCTCCCTTCGGCTTGTCAATATACAGATGCGTGCAATCTATGGCGCCCGCACACCCGGGGAACCCTTTTCTCTCAAATCCATTTTGCACGTCCTCCAACCGCTGTCCCGTAGGGAACTGTAGCAGATGACCGTACTCCCGGATGATGGCGTCGGCCACTTCCTCGTTGCTGCGCAAACCACTTGCGAGGTCCATCCCCAAGCTGTGGGAGGATTGGCTGTAATAACCGCCAGTAGCCCATCTCATAAGAGCCCATGCGAACTTCTGTCCGGCGGGTAATGGCATTCTGAAGGTCGTGGGCGACCGCTGGATGTGCGGGCTGATGCGAGCAAGAACTTCGAAGAACAAGGGGCGCGGAAGTCTGCAAAACCGAAGGAAGACCTTGTCGTGCTCGCCCCCTACTCGCTGGAGATCCTTCCAAAGACCACCGCTACGCTCCAAAACCCACAGACGACGTCTGTGGTCCAGCGTCCTCCCCATCTCCTCCACCGCCAGTGCACCGAGGGCGAAACCATGCAACAACCCCCCAACCAGTAGTGTCACCGCGGCGGAGACATTTTGGTGGACGAAAGGCATCAGCGACACCGCCTCCACGACCGCCAATGCTGCCATGTCTCGTCTGCTCACCCACTGGAAGAGGAGGAAAAGCAGCGTGCACATTGCATCTTCGCTTTCCTGAACATTCATCCCACATCCAGACGCATCCATAGCCTCCTTTCACTACAACGTCCAACCCGTGGACAACCTCTGGCAAAAGCGATGGCCGCATACCAACTCCCGCAAAGCCTCCCCCACGACAAAATCGCGCGAAGCCTGGACATGGATGTGTGTGTCCCGCGCGGAGCTGAGGAATTTGAATTCCCCGGGTGGCCCCCAACGGAATGTCCCAAAAATCATTGCTGTTGCTGCTTCCGTCGTGGGTCTCCCTGGGATGCCGCACCGGGGATCCGAAATCCGTCGCACGGTACCGTGGGCGGCATGCACCGCCACACACGGACAGGCCGACCCGAAAGGCTACGATGTCCGCTGGTCCATGCAGGCAGTCCATGCTTTCCTTTTTGGGCAGGCCCCCCCCCACGGTTTCCAAAAACGGCAAGCGAGGCCTTGGCGGTGGGGTCTTCATGAATCGTGCCAAAACGTTTCCACCGATGTTGGCCAGCTTTTTGTGGCCACTTTCCTTTTCCAGGGGGCTGGAACCTTGCACATACAATCGTGGCTATCCGTTGCCACACATTTGTCCATTTGACTCCAGGCTGCCGACCATTTTCCAAGACATTTAAAAGCGAGGTACTCTTGTCCAACATCGGAAACAGGTCCAGGTATGTTTTGTCCCAGAAATCGTCCGTAAGGGGGCCGTATTTCGCCTTTAGATTCGCTATCTACTATTGCAACCAATTTCTGCTCCGGAGGGAGGCGCGATGGCAGGGCCCCTTCCTCGTCGAGCCCCCCGGGAACAGAGGTTGTGTTTTCTGGGAGTGGGTCCACCTCCATGGGTTCAGGAGTGAAAGCAACCTGGAAAGGGTCTGAGTTCTTCTGCTGGTCCTGTCTGTCCCCTCCCTCCACCTCCATCTGTTCGACATTTTTCTGTCCTTCCCCCAGCCTGCACCCCCCCCGCCCTCATCCCC